TCAAGTGGGGGAGCCCAGCGATCCAGAATATCCCTTATAACATTCGCCGAGCAAATGATCCGTTTGTTTACCGATGGATAATACTCATGGTAATTTTGCTTTTAATCCGACTGTAACAAGGTTGCCAGATCGTTTCATGAAAATCTCCCAGTGAGGTGTAAAAAAGACCCCAAATAGCTATTTCCAGAATATTGACGCAATTTAAAACTCCTACTTCTGGTGTTTAGTAACTACTCCCAGATAACACACAACGTCTTGAAGATGTCTTTTGTATGTCTGTATTATGCCTGAACGTCTGAAGATCTAAAAAAGACATCTGAGTGACGTCTTTTGATAGACGTCTTAAAGATATCTTCATTTAATGTTCTAAATGTTCTTATAAATGCATGATTATATCGCTTATTTTTTTTTAATTTTTTGATGCAATAGTGAATTTCGACAAGTCAAAATCAAAATTATATCCCATAATCAGCCACTTCATAGTAAGATATAATTAGGTTCCATCTTATTTTGGTGTAATAAAAACAACATTATTGTAGGATTTTGAGTTTTGTAACTGAATAAATATACATATATCTGAAATTTTTTTAGATTGCTTATTTTTCCTACAATTAATAATATCCATTTGTAATAAAAACATTATAAAGTATTAATACAAAATAACCTTAAAATAACCCAGCGAAAGTTTTTAAATCAAATTACCCGCATATTTCCCATAATGCAATAATATCATCAAATCGGCACCATCTTATAAGGTGTGTTCAGAAAATATCGGGAATTTTCATTTTTTGAAACAAATATTTATTTATTCATCTACATTAATGTTGTCGCCTTCAAAATAGTCCCCATTGGATATTATGCACAATGTGCCAGCTCTTCTTCCAATACTAAAAACACTTCTAAAACTCGATCTTTGGGATAGCCTTTAGTTCTTTCAGCGATGCGCTTTTAATGTCATCTATGCTTGCAAAACGACGGCCCTTTAAGGTTCTCTTTATTTTTGGGAATAGTAAAAAGTCAGACAGAGGCATGTCTGGCGAATATGGAGGCTGGGGAATCATTACAGTATTGTTTTTGGCCAAAAATGTTGTTCAAAATTTAACAATTTTAGAACAAATTTTGCTGCCACGCGTTTTATACCCAAAACATTCGGGATGAGCCAATCGATATACCAACATCATCAGCGACTTCTCTGATGGTTTATAACGATTTCTTCCACTTTTTCCATGTTTTTATCGGTTGTTAATGTGCTTGTGCGTTCGGGGCGTTCGTCATCTTCAACGTCTTCACGGCCATCTTGAAAACTCTTATACCACTTGTAAACTCTTCTTTTACTTATAGCAGACTCACTATAGGCCTTTGTTAACATTTCACAGAATTTATTAAATTTTTTAAGCAAAATTGGATACAAATTCTTTGATCCATTTCTTTTAACGAACGAAAAATCGCCGAGCTCAAAAAACACGTCTAACCTTAGCGGCTGCCACAGACAAAGTAAACAATGAAAACAGCTAAAGTTTTTATCATACTTCGGGGGCATGTATACCAACATAATAAAGAAAATTTTATGCATAAGGGGTCCGGTTGTCATGACAACCGGACCCTCCGAACCCGCGAAATTTAACAATTCCCGTTATTTTCTGAACACACCTCGTATGCCAAACTGATATTTTTAATTTAGTGAATTTAAAATATCTGTTCCTTATATTTGTAGTTTTTTAGTCATAGGAGAAATTTTTAAATGCATTAAAAATATTATAGGAGATATTTTTAATTCATTTTGTTTTTATTTTTTTTTAATTGAATGTGATATTTTTAATTCAGATTGAAAGTTTGGACACTCCTGGTATTCGAAACTAATTCTGTCGCTAGATGGCGGCACAAAAAATACAAATATATGAAGCAAATATTTTAAATTAACTAAATAAGAAATATCAGTTTGGCATAAAAAAATGTAATTAAGCGAATTAAAAATGTTTGTTTAAAAAAAACACAAATATAAAAAACAGATAAAAATTAAATCTAATTTTAAAATATCTAGGTACTAGTACTATACTCTTTAAAAAATTAAACATTATGACACTGCCTAGCCTATTTATATACATTACATTACTTTATGCTAAAGATAACATTTTAAACTTCAGTAAAGTCAATAGCCACCACCAATATAATACTAGGAATGCCAATTTGCTCGAAATACCACCTCACAAAACTTCAAACTATGAGAAATGTCCTAAATATATAGCAATAAAATATTTTAATCATTTACCGGATAATATAAAAAATCTTAATGCAAAAAAGTTTAAAATTAAAAGTATACTTTTAGAAAAGGAATATTATTCAACCAATGAATATTTGTGTGACCTGGCACTGCTGTGATATTTCTAATTAATGTGATAATTTTGTTTTTTGTTTTGATATTTGTGTAATAGGTATTGTATCGTAATCTACCATATGTCTTGTAAATTTATTTAATTATGTACCCAGTATTGACGTATTCCATACAATGTATTTTGTCGCAGGAATAAGATGATTATTATTATTATTATTATTATGATATTATTAATTCGCAGAATAAAAATTCGTATGTGATATTTTTTATCTAATTGAAAATATCACTTCAGGGTTAACACATAAAATTAATTACTGAATAAAAAATAAAATCGCGTCCCATAGAAGTAAGCAAAATTAATTAAAACAAAAATTCGAGTGGCCATATTTCCGTCCTAATATTCAATATTTCGAATACAAACTTTAATTAATCTTTTGTCTTTTCGATCTATAATTTTTTTGGTCGAGCTTTTAACTTATAATTAGAAAAGTTTAAATGGTGGACATTTTTAAATTAATGGAGGTTAACTTTTTTACATTAATGATTTAGTAAAATTTAAATTTTATCAAATATTTTTTTAAATTAAATTGTTTAGATGGTTAGTTATTTTTTATAAAATTCTCCAAATTTCTGTACCTCAGGCAAGGTATACTATACTTCGCGAACTTGTCAATGCAGTTGCAGATGAAATCCGAAATCATCCGGATATGATAGCAAGAGCAACACATCATAATTTTCTACGCCGCTGTCAACTTTGTGTGGATAATAACGGCGGGATAGTTAAACATTTATTATGATTTTGTGGAACACTTAAAAAAATAGCTACATGAGCATCAATCGACGAAATTAGTGAAAGGTGAAATTTAAAATCGACGGGAAAACCACGGAAGCCTCGAGATACCTAACAATAAAAAGTTATTATTGTTTTGTTTAAAGTAGGTACTTAAAAATAGCCAAGTATGCAAAAAAAAAACAATTATCGACAAAGTAATTAATGATAACACAAATGTAAATTTTTAATGAATTATTGCTAACTGTGCAAGCATATTTTGCGTTAGTTGTCATAGGTCAGGAATAACCAGTGGCGGCCCAAAACTTCTACTTATAAAAATTTTAATGATTTTTTTTTTTATAAAAAATGATTAAGAGGAAAACTTTCTTATTTTGGCGTGTACTATTTTCCCCTTAAAGGATGACAACTTATTTGGTGACACCCTGTATAATATTCAATTTTTCAAGTTACCCTTCCTTTTCCCCCACCCCTAACATTTAGATTGTAGTTAGGGGGCCTCAAGAATTAAATTTGCCCCAGGCCCCCTATACCCTCTCGGCTGCCCTGGATAGTACATACCAAATTTCATCAAAAATGAACTATTATAATAGTTACAAACATATATTATAATAACTATTTTAGACAAGTTGATTTATTATTTTTTTAAATAATTATAACAAAAAATAAAACACGTTTAGGAGGTTTTAAACCTAAAAGGAGAAAAATAAGTACCTAGTTTTATAAAAAATTAACAATAAATAAATTTTTTCTACTCCCACCTTTAAAACGCCCTTTATCGTACATGTTTCCATGACACTAAGTGACCTTTTAAATACACATTGACAAGTTGTGGCTTTACGGCGCTTTAGTCACGGGCTGAAGTTAGCAACAGGTTTTTAGTCACGGGCTGAAGTTAGTTTTAAGTTAGTTGACAGTTGTCGAATGTCATACATTCCTTAAAATAAAGTGCCTTTCTTGTAAAATAATACTAAATGTGAAAATTATTTTATTATCTCAATACAAAAATACAAAAATATTAAATAGTTTCTCAACGCCAATATTTGAAAAGTTTATATGAACATTGTACTGACCTTTTAATTTCGCCGGCAGTAAACTATAACTTAAATTCGGGCACGGACTCTACTGTAAAGTCCTCATAAAACATTTCCTTTACTTTCACTGTGAAAAACTGTAAATTTTCAAGATACATTTCGATTTATAACCTTTATAATTGTGTTTATAAAATGTAAAAATGTGACATTTGACAGTTTCCCCTGTTGTTTCATAGATGGCGCTCTATACAAATTTTTGATTTAAATCATTTTAAGATAATAATAAGTATTTGTCGTAGAAAAAGTATAGTATGCACCTCGTTTATAAACTTTTCTATACACTCATTAACTTTAGCACTCGCTCGCAAGCTCGCTCGTGCGTTATACTATTTCAGACAAGTTTTTTTTACAACGTTATAAACTTAAATTGAAGTAGTTATGTTAATTTTTGATGAAATGAAAGCACGGGTCTTATTGGTGTGACTGATTGTGTTTACACTTAATTTTTTTAAATAAAAGTAAGAAATTATTATTAGTTTTCGTTAAAAATAATATTAATTATAATTATTATTAGCACGATTATTAGAAAATCTTTATTATAGCATTTGTAAAATCAGCTTAACAGAAATAGTGTAAAATTATTCATAATTAATTCATTTTTAATCGCAAATTATTCATTTATTTGTATCGATCTTCATCGTGTATTTCTAGCTACAGCGAATGCAACAGCACCGAACTTTTTTTTCACAGCGTTGGTCACCTACATACTTTCCATTGGCATTCAAATCGTCAGTTAAGTGAGGCGCGACCTTGAACGTAAAGCAGCCAGTAAATCCTTTTCCAAACTTGTCGTTATCTAGTATGCTATTAAAATCGCACGTGAAGCGGTCGCAGACATCATACCTAGTTGGCTTTTGTTTTTGACGCAGTAGGTTGTCATTTAATTTGACAACGTGCCGAGAGCAGTTCGTTTTTGTCACACGTCATAACGCACGTACGGGTTAGTTTGTGTCGGTGCAGTTCTGTTTACAACTGGAACCGTATCTCGTAGTAGCTAAGGTCAGTGACTTTTAATAAATATTTATATTACTATACACATACTGTGTATACACAGGTATAACACAGCATAAATCTAACAATGATCTTGTTTCTGACATACCCGATTTGTTTCTTTGCATTGTTTTATATTGTTAGTGTGTCATCTAATTAAATAAAATCTTAATTAGGGTTATATTAGGAATGGGAATAATTTAATAAATTAATGTTTTTCCTTTTTAAATGCTTGTGGTTTAACCTTGATAATAAAGACTATCATTATTTATTATTCAACATATTTTTAAATGCATGTTTTTAATAAAGAATACCTATTACAATACAAATTTTAAATGAGAGTAATTTATAGATAAAAATATGCTTAAAAAATCACATTAAATGCTCATATAAAATATTTTGTGTTATAAGCTATTTTTATGGCTTCCTTATTTGGAATTAATAAATTGGTAATTTACTTAATATTAGTAACTTAAAAATTACATTCCATAATGTATGTAGGTACCTGTCAGTTAACACTTTAATTTCAAAATATGTCCTTGAAAAATAAATTAAATAATTAATAAACAATTTATCCACGTTTATTTTTTCCCAGAGGCCTGAATATAAACAATAGTTGGAATAATCTAGTGAAAATATTATTATTAGCATTATACAGGGTGTCCCGAAAATAGTGTGCAATACTCTACACGTGGTTTCTAAAGACAAAAATAAATAAAAAATCTTCTAATAAACATAGGTCGGCAAATGGCCTCTAAGGGAGCTACAGCCCTACACCCCTGAAGATGTTTTTTTATTATTATTTCCGAAACAGTTTGAAATAAAAAATCTAATGTTGTATGATTACTTAACTTTTTATGCTGAATTTAAAAATAAAAACAAAATTAAAAAAAAATATTTATGACAACCCAACCCCAAATTTTTTTAGTCCAATTTTTTTGCAAGTAGGCTGCAGAGTATTAAAATTTAGGGTTGTTAAACATCGATAAAATGCACATTTTCGGCTAAAAATGAAATAACAAATAAAATAAAAATTGTCTTTTTATTTTTTATTTTAATATATTTTTTCTACTCCCACCTTTAAAACCCCCTTTATCGTACATGTTTCCATGACACTAAGTGACCTTTTAAATACACATTGACAAGTTTTGCCTTTATGGCGCTTTAGTCACGGGCTGAAGTTAGTTTTAAGTTAGTTGACAGTTGTAAAATGTCATACAATCGTTAAAATAAAGTGCCTTTCTTATAAAATAATACTAAATGTGAAAATTATTTTATTATCTCAATACAAAAATAAAAAAGTATTAAATAGTTTCTCAACGCCAATATTTGAAAAGTTTATATGAACATTGTACTGACCTTTTAATTTCGCCGGCAGTAAACTATAACTTAAATTCGGGCACGGACTCCACTTAAAGTCCTCATAAAACATTTTCTTTACTTTCACTGTGAAAAACTGTCAATTTTCAAGAAATACATTTCGATTTATAACCTTTATAATCTGTGTTTATAAAATACAAAAATGTTACATTTGACGGTGACACACAGATTCCCATATTGTTTCATAGATGGCCTTCTATACAAATTTTTTATTTAAATCATTTTAAGATAATAATAAGTATTTGTCGTAGAAAAAGTATAGTATGCACCTCGTTTATAAACTTTTCTATACACTCATTAATTTGAGCACTCGCTCGCAAGCTCGCTCGTGCCTAAATTAAATTCGTGTATAAAAGGGCGTTTATCAAACTTGATACATAATAAACTATTTTTTACTCCAACCTTTAAAACGCACATTGACAAGTTGTGGTTTTTTATGGCGGTTTTGGCACGGGCTGAAGTTACAAACAGGTTTTTAGTCACGTCGTTAAAATAAAGTGCCCTTTTTGTAAAATATTACAAAATTTGAACATTATATCATTATCACAATACAAAAATACAAAAGCATTAAATTATTCTTAACGCCAATATTTGAAAAGTCTATTTGAACATTGTAGGTACTGACCTTTTAGTTTCGCCGGTAGTAAACTAGATATAACTATAATTCGGGCTCGGATTCCACCGAGAAGTGCTCATAAAACATTTTCTTCACTTTCACTGTAAAAAACTGTTGTTAATCCATTTTCAAAAGATACATTTCGATTTAAAACACATACAAATTTGACATTTAAAGGTAAAACAGATTCCTCTATTGTTTTATAGATGTTGCTTTATACAAATATTTAATTTAAATAATTTTTTCTACTCCCATCATTTTCAAAAGATACATTTCAATTTATAACACATACAAATTTGACATTTAAAGGTAAAACAGATTCCTCTATTGTTTTATAGATGTTGCTTTATACAAATATTTAATTTAAATAATTTTTTTCTACTCCCACCTTTAAAATGCCCTTTATCGTACATGTTTCCATGACCTTTTAAATACACATTGACAAGTTGTGGCTTTCCGGCGCTTTAGTCACGGGCTTAAGTTAGTTGACAGTTGTCAAATGTCATATAATCTTTAAAATAAAGTGCCTTTCTTGTAAAATAATACTAAATGTGAAAATTATTTTATTATCTCAATACAAAAATACAAAAATATTAAATAGTTTTTCAACGCCAATAATTGAAAAGTTTATAAGAACATTGTACTGACCTTTTAATTTTGCCGGCAGTAAACTATAACTTAAATTCGGGCACGGACTCTACTGTAAAGTCCTCATAAAACATTTTCTTTACTTTTACTTTGAAAAACTGTCAATTTTCAAGATACATATCGATTTATAACCTTTATAATTATGTTTATAAAATGTAAAAATGTGACATTTGACAGTTTACCCTGTTGTTTCATAGATAGCGCTCTATACAAATTTTTGATTTAAATCATTTTAAGATAATAATAAGTATTTGTCGTAGAAAAAGTATAGTATGCACCTCGTTTATAAACTTTTCTATACACTCATTAACTTAAGCACTCGCTCGCAAGCTCGCTCGTGCCTAAATTAAATTCGTTTATAAAATGGCGTTTATCAAACTTGATACATAATATACTATTATACAAGGTGTCCCTAAACTTAGTGGCATACACTTAGGAGCAGATTAAGCAAGTCAAAATAAGACGAAAATCTAAATTAATATTTTTCCTAATTACGTATGTTTAAAAGATACAGGGTGATAAAGTGTTACTTATCATATCAGTTTTTTTAATATAACTTCTACTATAGTAGACTTGGAAAGGTGATATTTTGCGAACAATCACTTACTACCAAAACACATATTCACACATAATTACAATTGTTCGAGTGAACACAGTGTCGTAGAAACAGGGGTTGCTTAAGCTTATTGTCCCATACAAACTTTGAGGTTAGGTTTTTATACCATTTGATGGAATTTTTCGATTACTCAGTTCGGCTACTATTAAAAAGGTGTACCTCTCAAACTTCGATAAAATAAACCGTTTCCGAGATATTCGAGATTACAATAATTGTTAATCGCATTAAAGGACTGAAAGGTATATGATAACAAATTTTTTAATTGAAAAAACAAAAAATTTTTTTAATGTGACGGTCAGGGCAAAAAGTCCCGAGGCTCATGGAATGCCCTTTTTAGGTTTTTCAATTAAAAAATAAAATTTGTTATCATATATCTTTTAATCCTTATAAATAATGCGATATAACAACTATTGTAATCCCGAATATCTCGGAAACGGTTTATTTTATCGAAGTTTTAGAGGTACACCTTTTTAATGGTAGCCAAACTGTGTAATAGAAAAATTGCATCAAATGTTATAAAAACCTAACCTCAAAGTTTGTATGGGACAATAAGCTTAAAGCAACCCCCGTTTCTACGACACTGTGTTCACTCAAACAATTGTAATTATGTGTGAATATGTGTTTTGGTAGTAAGTGATTGCTCGCAAAATATCACCTTTCCAAGTCTACCATAGTAGAAGTTATATTAAAAAAACTGATATGATAAGTAACACTTTATCACCCTGTATCTTTTAAACATACGTAATTAGGAAAAATATTTATTTAGATTTTCGTCTTATTTTGACTTGCTTAATCTGCTCCTAAATTTATGCCACTAAGTTTAGGGACCCTTGTATAATAATAATATAATAATAATATATATATAATATATATATATATATAATAATAATATAATAATAATATATATGGGTAATTCTTTTACAAACCGAACACCTTTTGACCGGTTTGTAAAAGAATTACCCATATAAATAATAATAAGTATTTGTCGTAGATAATAGTATATTAAAGAACTAATGTCATAAGACGTCATTTTGTCGCACGAGGAAAATTTATAAAACAAGCGACGAAGGAGCGAGTTTTGTAATGAGCGAGTGCGACAAAAGGTCTTATGACATGAGTTCTTTATACCATTTTATCTATTTTGCAAAAATTCTATAATAAAATTAATTTTATACCTTATATTTAATTTGGCCGAATTTTACTTTAGATAGTTGATATCACAGTCATTGGTTTGAAGGGTTAATATCAAAATTGATTCGCCATGGAGTCCTTAATTTACTTAATCTGTTGGGCAAATAAATATATTATTATTATTATTATTATTATTATTATTATTATTATTATTATTATTATTATTATTATTATTATTATTATTATTATTATTATTATTATTATTATTATTATTTACAATCAGCGGCTGTTAATGTTAAAGTAGAAAAAAAGGATTTTCTTGGGTGTTAAACAAAATTTATTGCCAGAAAAGTCTCGTAAGTTTTAGAAAAATCATAAATATGCAAAATATGATTTTAATCGATTTTACTAGTATGCTGTTTAGTAGCCAACCTATAAAATAAAAGTTTTGGGTGGGGTAAAGTACCTCATTACAGCACCGAAAGCGGTGTTACAATGAAGTCATTATGAACGCAAAATAGATAAAGTATAGTACCTATGTAACTAATTTTATAAACTTCTTTAGGCACTCGTTTTTATTAAACACTCGCTCGCTCGTGCTTGATAAAATTCGTAACT